ACACGCATGCCAGGCGAGAGCGCTACTGCTTGAGCCACATCCCCAGCCCAGAAGTTTTTTTTTTAAATTAGAATATACACACAGACATAAAAGTGATGATCTACTCTTTTTATATTATTATTATTATTATTATTAATTTTTAATCATGTTCTCTTTCTATGTTGCCAGGCTGGCCTTGAACTCAGAATCCTCCTGCCTCAGCCTTCTGAGTAGCTGGGTAATATTATTTATAACAGTTAAATAGTACTCCACAATGAATGTGTAATAGTTAATGGACTTTTTGTTTGCTGATTTTTACAATGACAAACAATGCTATAGTGACCAAATTTGAGTATACATTTTTGAACATTTGTGCCAGTATTTTTAAGGGATATAAAATTCTTAGGTCAACAGTTATATAATGTAAAAACATTAAGAGGTACTGCCAAATAGCCTTACTGAAAGATTTTTTTAATTAATTTACTCTTCTACCAACAGAGAAGAGTAAATTAATAAAAAGAGAGTACAACCACTTAAAAAAAATTGCAGTTCTGGAGACTGAACCCAAGGCCTTGCACATGCAAGGTAAGTGCTCTATCACTGAACTACACTCCCAGCCCAAAAGGGTACAATCTTTTGAGGCAAGCTCTCCTTAAGAAGATAGAGACTCTGCTATGCATAGTTGAGAATTTTACTCTGAACTGTTTTGTATTTATCTTTAATGATAGCACATGTTCTTTTTTCCCTTAGAGTATTTTAATTTCCTTGGAGGCTAGGATCATGTCATATACTCCTTTGGTATTTCCCATAGTGCCTAGTACAGGCTGGGCAACTGTGGGTGCTCAATACGTACTTGATGATTGACTGATAAACCGGTTTATATTTTTGGACTACACAATGTTTTGAGGTCAGCTTCTGGAATGAGAGGGCTAGGCAGAGTCAGACGAGGGATGTGCCAAGAAAGTATCAAATGCTCTCACTTGGCCATCATGTTTACACCATAATCTGGGAACCTTATCTGTACCAACGAAGCACTTAGCACAATCCCTGGTTCAGAGAAGGTCCTGAATAAATGGCCTCTATTGCTGTTATGATTTTTTTTTAGTGGGAGGATTGTCTTAGGGCTAGTATTGAGGGTTTAAGCATAATACCTAAAACTCTTCCGAGTGGAGTTAGAAATCCACAGATAAATCCAAATTGGGCACAAGCAGGAGAAACCAGGAGTCAGAGAGAGAGAAACAGGGGCTTGGTTTCTGACACCTGAAACAGAGTCTCAGTTGGATTGTGATGGACACTTTCCCTGCCACCCCAGATAGTTTTTATTGGCTTTTTTTCTACATTTGGCTTTCATGTCCTGGCATCTTAAAGATACTACTTAGCCTCAGAGAAGAGCCAACAATCCCAGAATAGTTCTATGAACACAGGAAGTGCTTAATGAGAGCTGTTCTATTTATCTCTCACCTGTTGATACAGATAGTGTGGCAGCAGTGTGGAGGGTTCACTTGAGAAGATGGTGCTAAAGAACAGCCATTGCCTAGAAGTAGTTTAACTGCCCAAGCTTTTTCCAATCACAGGGTGAGGTGAGGGACTGGGAAACCAAGCAGCCAGTCAGAACATTTGATACTTTCTTGGCACATCTCTCGTCTGACTCTTCCCTCTAAATTCAGCGATGAATTTAAAGGCTTTGAAAACATGGTGGAATATGGACAGCACAGGCTCTATGAAATAAATAATGGGTCTCATTCTTCTTACTTCTTTATCTCCATTTGGCAGTGTGGCTGAAGGAGAGAAATGAGAGATGGCCATTGCATAGATGCCATTATAATATTCATTGATTGTGTTTCTCCTATATGCCAGACATTTTATCCTCTTTATAACTCTAACTCTATGTGGTAGGTACAATTGTCTCTTGGTATCTGCATGGGGTTGGTTCCAGGACCCCTATGAATTAAAAAATCCACCAATGCTCAAGTCTCTCATATAAAATGATGTAGTATTTTTATATAACCTACATACATCTTCCCATATACTTTAAATAATCTCCAGATTATGTATAATACCAAATACAATGCAAATGCTGTGTAAATAGGTGCTATGATGCATCATTTAAGGAATAATGATAAGAAAAGAAAGTCTGTATATGTCTAGTACAGGTGTAATTTTCTTCAAAATATTTTTGATCTGCAGTTGATTGATACAAAGGGCCATCTGTATTATCTTTGTTTGACAGATGGGGAAATAGGCTCAGAATGGATAAATTGTTTGCTGAAGGTTACACAAGGTATTAAGTTGCAACTTAATCTAGGATTTGAAGCTAGGTCTGTATGGCCATAAGACTTGTGCTCTTCCTATGCTACATACCATCCTGCCTCTTCTATGCCATCAATAATAGCTCAGGTCTCACAGAAAGAGATGTCGCTTAAGAATACTGGGCTGGTCATATATGGGCAGGGCATACTGTGGGTCTCTCTTTTGCTCATCAATTCATTCTACAAATGCATACTTTTTGTCTAGTTAGAAAGTAGGAAGTAGAGTATAAGGCAGGTAGGTGGGATGGGAAGGGGCACGTGTGTGGAGACGACGGCAAGGAGACATAGGAAATTTTGGGCTAAAGAAAATAGAGGAAAAGTAGCCATCAAGAACTCAAAATCAGGGTGGAGAATGATTTTGTGTGTCTCTCCAGGGCTGTAGCACTGAATGGTCTCTGGAGCAACACTTACAGGCAAGCTTCAGCCCATTAGTGGCACTCAGGATCTGAGGCCTTCAACAGCATTTTATACCTACACACACACACACACACACACACACACACACACACACACACAAATGAACCATAAATATGGAGCCAGATTTTTAAACAAGCACTCCAGAATATATACTGCCATACCATGAACAATCTTATAAAACGGTGGGTTATACCTTGATTTTAGTGGTGTTTCTAGTGCTCATTGTATGATTATAACTCCCCTTCAAAAGAACCAACACTGATTTGGATGCATATAATGGGAAGTTTGTTGAAAAGAGAAAAGAAACGAAAAAAAAAGAAATAAAAATCTCAGTTTATAGTCACAATTTAGTTATGTATATCTATTAAGACTTTAAGGATTACATAAAATGATGTAATTATATAGAAGGAAGTGCTATGGAATGTTTTCCACATAAAATTTCCTTAATTTTCTTTTAGTCGTGTGCATGATGAAAAAGATTGTAATAAACCAATCCTGATTTACATAGCCATTTAATCCCAGAGGGAATGTGACCTAGAGCAGGGAGGGGCAGAGCTCAGGAATGAGTTGCTGTGACACATAGATTCCAAGACTTCCCAGGCTTCGCTTGCACCTGAGCTATGGGCAAAGTATGTTTGGGTAGCTGCAGAGGCTTAGTTTTGACTGTTCCACAGTCAGAAGGATGGCAGCTGGGATGACCATGTTATTTCTAAGGGCATCTGATATACAGAGGCTTGGGAATCCAGAGAGCTGATGGGGCTGAGGGAAGTTCCTCTCCCTCCCATACCAAGTGTGTACAATCCCAGAACCCTCCAGAATTCAAAGGGGTGGAATGGGAAGCAATAATACTGATCATATGCTTCATAAGGAATAAACCAATGATTATAATCAGCATGAGTGTCCAGGAACAATAGAAGCTTTATAACGAAATAATTTCCTCTATACATTAATTATAGCACATCTCTCATAAGAGAATTACCTAGTGATTTTTTGATCCTTTAATTTTTTTTATTGAAAGGTGTCACAAAAGTGTCAAATATAATTATTGTCATGTAGCTTTTTGCTTCATACTGTATGGGATCCAAATACTGTAAAGGAGAAATAGTTCTTGACCATGTATGTGGTCTTTCATTAAAATCAACAAAAAAAAACTTCATTGGGAACAAGAGATTTGGCAGTATTTTCTGTACTAATTCCAAGTACTATCACTCTACAGAAACTTTTGTAAAGGTCAGGAAAACCTAGGCTGGTGATATAGGCACTCTCAACAGTGTGGCAGATAAGGAGAGGCCACCTTGACTCTTATATTGCCTCTTACATTTGGAAGGCAAGAACCATCCTTGTGGAAAGAGACCTGATGTTTTGTAAAGTCTACACTATAAATATTTTGGTTCTCAACTCTTTTCCCCACTCCAATCTCAAACTTCTAAAGGATGTGACTCACTAGGATTGGTAGCAGTCACTCATGGTGGCAGTAACTGCAGATGGGGGTGGCAGAAGGAAAGGATCAATCTGGTTGGTTGGGTAGAAATTCTGCCTTGGATTCCACCTTAATTATCATAAGCTCTTCAAATCTAATAGAAATTTACAACATTTTTGGCAACCTTCATTATTCACCTGGAAAAATTTGTCATCTTAGTGGAATTTCTCTTAAGTCCCTTAATGTCAGTGAATTGTTTTTGGTATTGTCAAAATGATTCTGTGGTCTTGAGGACAGTTATCCCTTTCAACTTCATTTTTATATTTATTTGTTTTGTTCTGAAAGCCTTAGAAATGCAGGCCACGGTGCCTGAGACAGAGGTGGGGTCACTGACTACTGAATGGGACTTGGGAGGAAGAAGACTCATCTTTACGCTGAGGAAGAGTAAAACCCGGAGTTATGGTTGATTTTAATGTGAATAGGACTGGAGAGGCCCAGGGCGGACCTAGTTTGGGGTGAGCATCCGGATCTGTGAGCTAGTGTTGGCTTCAGTATCTCACCATGCGTATAAGTAGGGGGAGATTGGTACCCGCCTCTCTGTCCCATCAGCACTACCCTTCCCCTACGTCTTTGCATAACTATATTAATAGAAGTCAACACTTCACATACTGGCGCTCGGACCCCAAAGAAGCAGGCAGCGACTTGGCAGGTGGGCAAGTAGCAGGGAGATGGGTGGGGGAGTGGGCGGAGACACTGTCGAGTGGCGTCAGGGGTAGCCAATGGCAGTTCTGAGAAGGGGCGCCAGGGGCGGAGGCGCTGAGGCTGTTTAGCCAATGGAGAGCGAGCAACTACTGGAGCGACCTGGTGACGTGAGGAGCGTTCCATTCGGCCAGCGGTGGGCGGTTGCCACAGCTGGTTTAGGGCCCCGACTATTGGGGCCCCTTGTCAGGAGGAGGCAGTCTCCCGTCCGGGGAGAAAAACTCACTGCCACCTTTGGCGGCCGACGCGGTCCCTTGGGACAGTGCACTTCCTGCCCTCAGTAGCTGGCCGAGTTCGGTCTCTCTCGTTCAGGTAACAAGGGGTGGGGGTGGGGGTCTCTTGGACTCGGCTTGCGTGGTGGGCTGCCTCCCTTTCAGATGCACCCAGGCGCGGGGACATTGGCACCGCCCTTCTCAACTCGACAGCCACCAAGCCCCTAGCCCGGGTGACTACACGTGGCGGGGCGTGTGTGAGTGTGTACGAGTGTGTGGACGCGTGTGCGTGTGGATGTGGCGCGCGTCCCAACCTGCCTGGGGCGGTGGTCCGCTGCGTGGCAGAGGCAGGGCGGGCCTCCAGAGGCCGCGCCCGCGGCCCGGCCCAGGACTCGGGCCTCAGACGCTCGGCTAGTGGGTTGGTCGCTGCTTCCCGACGGATTTTGATCTTTGTTCTCCCAGGCCGGGTTCCCCTTCCTGGTCTCTCTCCTCCTGCTGGGCCAGTTTATCAGGAGGAGATTGTTTTCCAGGTTAGTTTTACACAAAGGAAGTGTTCTGTGCACCTCTGGTGCCCCCTCCCCTTTCTCAAGCGTTCACCTTCTCATTTCCTGGCTCAGCTCCTTGTCCCTCTTGGACCTTTGCCCTCTCCTGTCCGGGAATGATCTCGACTTGGTTGTTTCTTTCAGTCAGTCGGACTGCAGGCTTCCACCTCATTCTTGCATGTTGTGTCAGTAAATAGAGGCCACAGCCCCACACCTGAGAGGGGGAGGATGGCAGTGGCCGAGCAAGGGTAGGCCTGGGAATTCAGGATGCTGAGCAGCGATTGTATTTAAGAAATGTCCCAGAAAGCGTCCTTATGACTTGTCTCAGCTGCCTGCCCCCACAACCACCCATCTCAGTTGCCAACCATTCTAGAATCTCTTCTGCTTAAGTCAGGCTTTCACCTATAGTCTGTAATGTGGTTTCATTAAGATTCCCACAAATATTAGGCTAGACCAGCAAGATTATTTCATTTCCCGGACTCAGGAAGTTGTAGAGGGTTTGATGAGGGGAAATCTGTTTTGTGTAAATACAATATGTTGTATGTGTACAGAGTGTCCAGAACCTCCTACCCCTGCCAGAGGGCGAGTTATTCCCTGGTGTGATTCATATTTGAGTGGCTAACTGAAGAAGGTGAAGAAGTGGAGGAGGGAAGGGAACAGCTCCTTAAGGACAGAAACTCTACTATCATTTTTAGAGTCCTCTTAATGAATATTAAAGAACACTGTGGTATGGTAGAAAGTGTCCTGGACTGGAAGTCATTGCCTTTTTTCTTTTTTGAGCTTTGCTTCTGTGATGCTGGATAAGTTGTTCCCTCTTTATGGTCTTCAGTTTACTCATTTACAAATAATGAGGATTATCACCTATAAAATCCTTTTTGTTCCAAAGTTCTGTGATTGTCAATTCATCAATATTAGTTTGGAAGCATACAGTTTAAGAAATGGTGGCCCACTTCTTTTTTGGAGAACTTTTAGTTGTTTCTCCTTTTAGAGGACAAACAGACTGGAAATTAACTTCCCCCATTTCCCCATTCCCATTCCTTTGGGCAGTGATCTTTTCTGCCTCTGGGACAGGAAAGTTGATCTGCATTTTCTTATTCTTACCTCATTTTTTTTCCTTTTTGTGCTTTTCCTTAGGGTTAGAAATTGGACTTTTGATGATGTTTGACCCAGCAGCATCAATAGCAGGCAACGTGATTTTGAAGCTGGTCTCAGCCTCTGTTTCTTCTCTCGTGTAATCACAAAGCCCACTTTGGACCTGGAATTCCAATCATGTCTGTGATGGTGGTGAGAAAGAAGGTGACACGGAAATGGGAGAAACTCCCTGGCAGGAACACCTTTTGCTGTGATGGCCGTGTCATGATGGCCCGGCAAAAGGGGATCTTCTATTTGACTCTCTTCCTCATCCTGGGGACCTGCACACTCTTCTTTGCCTTCGAGTAAGTTTCCATTGAGTTGCCTAATTATGATTGCTTTGATCCAGGGGGAAGAGCCTTCTTTCTGGGGAGTTTGCTGCTAGTTCTCGGATGACTTAAACAATGTCTGTAGTTGATACTAACTGAATTCATTGCTTTGTGGTTATAGCAGAGTATGTGCTTCCTACAAAGACTAAGACCTTTGATACCAATTTTATAGCACTGATTTGGGGCTACCCCTGACAAATTTGGGAATAAGGGAGATTCCTCCCCCTTTCAGTGGCAAGAGATTAGGGACAAACGGCCTCCTTTCCACCCTTCCCAAGTCTAGGGGTACTCTTGTTATTATAATACCACCCAACAATACTTAATCTGCTATTCTAGTCCCATTTCCTAGTCTCTAGCTCTCAGATAGCTGGTAAATTGAAAAGCCAATGGAATTGGGATCTCCAATTCACTGCATATTGGTTTCAGGCTCAGTAGTACCACAAACAAGCTGAGGGCATGGCACATAGATGCTTCTTAAAAGTGAGTTACTCTTTCTTTCCCTCAAAATCACTCAGTGTGCACTCTCTATTCTTTGTATGCCTGACACCAGCCTTGGAGTTATTTTTTTTCTGTGTTGTAATAGCTAGTACTAGAGCTACTGTTTGAAGTCTGTGTAGGTCACTTCTCTAGGGAGGTGGCCAGTTGGATTCTAGGGCACTGTGGCATGACTAGTGGGTGTGCTGAGAATGCTCTACACTCTAGGGATGAGAGCAGTGTTAATTGTTTTGGGATTACTGTAAGGAAGGCCTTGAGGAACTGGAGGTGTATGTATAGGCTGAGAGCCATACCTGATGGAAGCCTGCTGTGGTTCATTGTACATGGGTGACCTGGAAATGGAGCTCCCATGTTGGGGTGTGGTCAGGGTATATAGGAAGGGGACTCCTTGGCCAGGCTTTGTGGGTAATTAAAATGAGTTCTGGTCCCTTGGGGCTCATTTTGTCCCTCTCTATGGGCTATAGGCTTTCCCAGTGCATGCAGAGTATTTGGGGACTGTTTTGCCAGACTTTTTAATGATTATATCTGGCTTGAGTAATAGCAGGAGGGAGAGAGGCCCCAGTTTACACAGGGCTAGCAAAGTAAGGTCACAGGAGCTCTTTGTTAAAGGTCCTTTTGCTGTTGCTGCTGCTGGTATTGCTGCCGACTTTGTGGAGTATTTGGTGAAATCAGGCAGGTTGCTGAGGGCTTTTAGCTGCTTTCCAGTCGGAGTTTCATGGCTGAGTGTGTGTGTGCCCGTGTGCATGCACCACGTGCTTGTGTATGGTATAAGTGAGCATGTGCAGCTGGGCAGGCATATGCATGACACGAAACAATTTGTTTTCATTCTTCTCGTCATTCTCTCAAGTTTCTTTTGCTTATTCCTGCCTTGCTTCTTGTTGGAAGGGCAAAACTGAACTCTGTGGTCATTCTCTCTCTTTTTGTCCCCCCTACCTCTGTAGCTACATTTTTATGAGTGAAATCATTCATGAAATTGATGAGACCTGCTTCCAGGCTCTGAATGAATTGGTAGCCCTAGGTTTAGGAAAGCTCTGGTTTGACTGGCCAGGGGAACTTAGAATTTGAAGCCATTGCTCTTTGGCCCGTTTTGTATCTTGGAGCCAGTGAGAGACTCTGACTTGCATCTCTTCCACTTAGGCCCCTGCAGGCCTCTGAAGAAAACTGCTATGGGATGAAGCTTATAATTAGCCAAGTTACTGTTTGACAGAGGCTGGTTGAATTTTCTTCCAAAACAACTTTCATCTGCAAATTATTTCTTTCATTTTTTTGGGTACTGGGGATTGAACTCAAAAGTGCTTTACCACTGGGGCTGGGGCTGTTGCTCAGTGACAGAGCGCTTGCCTAGTATGTGAGAGTCACTGGGTTTGATCCTTAGCATCACAAAAAAATAAAAATAAAAATAAACAAAAATAAAGGCATGCTGTCCACCTGCAACTTTAATTTTTTTAAAAGTACTTTACCACTGAATTAGATCCCCAGCCCTTTTTATTTTTTATTTTCAGTCAGGGTCTCACTAAGTTGCTGAGGATGGTTTTGAACTTATGATTCTCCTGTCAGCTACTTGAGTTGCTGGGGTTATAGGCATGCACCACTGCACCTGACTGCTTGCAAGTTATTTCTTGTGTTTTTCCTATACATGTGAAGGGTGTGGTTTTTTGTAAGACTGTCCTGAGTTCCAGCTGTCTACATGAAAGAGTAAATATTTTGAAGGTAGGGCTGGGAGAGGGAGGAGAGAAGGAAGTTAATATGTTAGCTGAGAAGGGGAATGGGGAAGTATAAATCTGACCAAATTTGAGAGGATCCTGATGATAAATTCTTTTAACTGAGAATGTAGAATCTGTGTTTGTGTGAGTGTGTGTGTGTGTGTGTGTGTGTGTGTGTGTGTGTGTCGTATCCTGACAAACAGATGTTTTAGTGACAGTGTACAGTGACAGGCTATACAGGCACACTAGCATGCTTCTGAGAAATGAAGTGTCTCTTTCTGGTTGACCTTTTCCTTTGAGTTTATAATTTACTATTAACTACTTAGTAGACGGTAGGGTTTTGGGGATAGAATATGGATTTCATTGTCAGTATTAGAACTCAGTGAGATCCCAGGAAATCAGCTGAATTAGTCTCCTGCTTTCAGGCAGGTGAGGGTATTTGAATAGATGAATGGCTGGCTGTTTTCATTCTTAAATTGTCCAGGAGCATAGACTCCATATCCTCTAGCTGCTGCATTCTTGCCTTATGGGAAGATAGTCCAAGTCTTGAAACATATCTGAATGTGCATTTTAGTTACATGGTCCTGCTTATAGCAGGTGCTTAGGAAAAAGTGTGAGTTGATTTATGGCTGCCTGAGGTACAACTCTGGATCAGCCAGATGGCTTGAGAAGTCTGGTTATGCACCTGGGTGCCCTTCAATGAAAAAAGTGCAGTATTGGTTAGTAGTTCCAGTAAATAGCCTCAAAGTTTTAGTTTAAAAAATTTAGTTGTAAATGGACACATACTTTAATTTATTTATTTTTATGTGGTGCTGAGGATTGAACCCAGTGCCTCACATGTGGGAGCAAGTGCTCTACCATTGAGCTACAACCCCAGCCCTGTATTTTTAGGTTTTGCTTGTATGAATGTTGACTTTTCAAAGGAGAGAGCTGTAATTTTCAATGGAAAGACAGAAGGTTGAATACATAAAACAAAACAAAACAAGAAAAAAAGGCTGGTCACCTGGGAGCCAGTGAGCTCTGTATTGTTAGAAGTATTTCTGAAGAAACTAGATGGCCATTCCTCAGGGAAATTGGGCTGCATAATCACTAACCCTCTTGCAACTCTGAGAACCTGAAATTGTGTATAACTTGGAGACTAGAAGATTCAAATACACACAAAGTAGAGTGTAGATTACCAGTAGGTAGCTGTATTTAAATGTAGTTGTATTCCTGGTAAATGTATTTAAATTTAAAAGCAGAGTGAAAATTGTAAAATGCTTGAAGAAGATGGATTTGCTAATTAATTCTCAAGGGGTGAGGTATTGAGGAATTGTGAGTGTGTATGCCAGTTTCAGCTTTAAGCACAGGAACCATTTTTAGTTCTTTCTCTTCAAACCTTGTCTAGCTTGTGTGGTGAACACATAGCCATTAATTTGGCCTAGAGTATCAGGACACTGTAGTGGAATGATACCAACAACTTGCGAGCTGTTCAGCTACTGAAAAATTATTGTAGTATTTGGTCATACTTTACTTTCTGATAAAGTATGATCCTTGGGCTAGGCATGATGGTGCATGCCTGTAATCCTAGACTCCAGAGGCTGAGGTAGGAGGATCACAAGTTCAAGGCCAGCTCAGCAACTTAGTGAGGCCCTAAGCAACTTAGCAAGATCTGTCTCAAAAAAAAAATAATAATAAATAAACAAGGACTGGAGATATAGCTCAGAGGTTAAGTGCCCCTGGGTTCAATCCCTGGTATTTAAAAAAAAAAAAAAAAGAAGTGTAATCCTAGGGAAAGGACCAAGCACAGTCTTCCAGAATTAGCTGCCTGGCTTTCTCTTTGAACTTTGTAACCTGACATCTAATATAGCCAGGGTCCCCAGAATTTTTTTTGTGGCAAGAATGACTATATGATTCTTGACCCCAGAACTAGAAGCAGTTGGCTGCTATGATCAGTGTTGATGCTCTCATATATGGAGGAAATCATAATAAGGTGCCATCAGACCAGTTTCTGTTGGACTGGTCCCCATTAATGCTTATGATGTGTACTTATTGGCAGAGGAGTCAATCACTGAGCTGGATGAACCGAAAAAAGCTTTGTAACACTGCTTAGTAATCATCCCACTTCTTCTAGCCCATTCAAATTCTACTCCTTTTTCAAACTCTTTTAATTATAACAAATAATCACATGGCATTTCTTATATTTCTGAATTCTGTGATGATTATACTTTTTCCTTGTCCCCCAGAGCTAGAGGGGATTTTTTTCAGGGTCAGGAACTATCTCCTATGTCTGTGTATCCTCCTCAGTGTCCTCCACTAGGCTTTCCATAGAGTAGATGGTCAGTAAATGTTGCTGAATGTATACATTCTGGATGCACTTAGAATTTAACAAAATTAACAGAATTTAACAGAATTACGGGATGGTAGAGTTGGAAAGGGCTTTGGAGAGACTATGCATTCTTTTGTGAGTGAGGAAACCAGGCCCACAAAAGTGAGGTTGCTTCATTAGGATCAGTTGACCAACCAGTGTCTCTGTAGGGTACCATCTTTCAACTCATGGCCCCCCTTTGTCTATGGGATGCTAAAGGTATTCACATTACTAAAGCTGTGCATGGTGGCAAATGTTAGATCAGCATATTCTGGGTTCTTGCTAGCTAGTGTGTGTGTTACCTAGGTTATTTGGGCCTCCCAAGCTTATGCTCCTAGAAAATGGAAGCATCTTTGTGGAAAACTGACAGCATTCCAGCATGGCCTTCTGGTAGTCTTGCAGGAACCAGTGGCCCATCTCTAAATGGGAAC